TTCCATACACCCTGTTGTTTGAACTTGCTTCCTATCTTAGTGGTTTTCCATGGACACAGAAACTCAGCACTTTAAAGAGGTGCTCATATGGCAGGCTGCCCCCCTTCTCTCCCTTTTCTATATTTTTATTTTACTTTTAGTATAGTGGTACTTAAAATCACTGGTTCACTTAAAAACAATAAAATGTTTAAACTCTACTAATGTACAAATAAGCTGAAAAGTTGCATTTTATGTGTATTTTTGCCATAGCAGGTACTGTATTTCTCATGCTGGATTTCAAAAAAAACAAACAAAAGGGTGATGTTTTATTGGAGTGTGACAAGTTAAGAGTAATAAGGAATTAAGTCGTCGTCATTTCATTGAAACTGAGAGATGGTGTAATACATATTATAAGTTTTCTGAAGGTTTTTTTGGGCTTTTAAACAGCTTTTGTTTTTATTTTATTTTTATTTTTTTTGAAAGATATGATTGTATTATGTGCAACTCAGTTGCTTACATTATAACTACAAAATATTTTTGGGTTCCTGGAAAAAAAAGAAAAAAGACTAATAAATGTGTTTGGCTGCTAAGCATTTAATACTGTGGTTTTCTGTCAGTTTATTTTGCTACGTGGAACATACTGTCTTGTGGGGGGGGGGGAGGTGAGTTCTATGTTCTCTGCTTGCAGCCCCTGTGTAGGAGTTTGGATACCCTTGGTAAGTCCACAGTTATTTCTGTATAGAAGAAGAATCTAATTGGGGGCCTTTTGCAGCTCATGGGAGTCTTGTGTGAACAGAATATACAACTGGGTGTACCATAGAAAACATGTCCCACAATGGTCAGAACTGCCTGGCAGTGATGAGAGTTCTTGGTAGAGGTGATACCTTTTTATTAGACCAGCTAGCTGTTCGCAAAAAAAATTTAAAAAAAAATTGCAGGATTTTTTTGCAAATAGCTAGTTGGTCTAATAAAAGATACCACCTCTACCAAGAGCTCTGATTCCTTTTGCCTGTAGACCAACACGGCTACAACCTGTATCCCTGAAACACAGCAGTGATGATGAGGCACTTTGCAGAAGAGTGAGTACTATAGTAGCCTCAAGAAGGATTTTTAGAATGCTAAAGGTTGAGGACCAGATCACACTGTGACTTCAGTGTGAAACTACATATTAGAAACATAAACACAATATGACCCATAATTTACTATATATAGTACATTAGGTTGATTTTTAAAGTGCTGGGGGGGTTGGGGGAGGGTTGTTTTTTTTTTAAAAACATCCTTTTAGTTTTTAAATATCCTTTGTGAAGCTTAGTCCCTCTTTTTTAAGTGCTATTGCATGACAATGGAGTGCATTCTGTAGCAACACATTCTCCAGGCAATGAAATAGAAGTGGGAAGGGCAGAGGAAGAAAGTGGGTAAAAGCATGCGTGTTGGCACATGTTTGCTCTCTGGTTTCCCTGAATATCTGAGTGCAAGGCATCTGCTAACTCTCCCACCTTCTCCCTGAAACAGAAGAATTTGATTTGCTTTTAATTTAGGAAGCCAATGCACTGCTACTGTTCTCCTTCCACATGTATGCTGCATTGCATTCAGGCTGCTCCTGCGATATACCTCCATTGGCATTAAAGGGACATCCACTTAAAAATAACACTTCTGAATGAAAAAGTGGCAGTTGCTTGCTCTTTCCCATTGCTGTTGGTGACTTGGTTGGCCAAATACACATCTGTAGGGAAAGAAAATTGTTTTAGTTTATTAAATTAAAAAGTTGGATGTAGTTGATGCTACGTGTTACTTTTCAAAGGACTGTTCATATTTCAAGTTCCGCCCCCATCCCTCCAAAGGGGACCAGCGTAGCACGGAAGTATCCTCAGTTAAGGCCTCAGGGTGTTACTGGTGCAAAAGTATATATTTAACAGTAACTTCATGGCTCGGTCTGTTATCCTGGCAACATGTCCAGCTTACTCAGAGTATCTTCCTGGTTGGTCAGCTTTCAGGTATTGTAACTTCATGCTGTACCTTGGATATTTGTCATTGATTCTGCTTTGCTACAATGCCATGGTTTCTTCTGCTTCTACTGAAGATCTTCCACTAATGACCATCCTATGAACTCCAGGTAAGCCCTCAGTTTATACCTTTTCAGACTGCTGTAAACTGGCACTCCAGCCTGGGCATTGCTCCTTCAAATCTTCCTGCTGTATAGTTATGTGATGCTGTACTCAGCTGCAGAGGGGTCTCTCCTAACTTGATAGCTCTGTGCTTCTAGATTTCCTTGGGTCTGAAGTGCCAGTTCCTTCCAGATTTAGCTGAGCCAAGGAGCAAGCTGTTGAAGCTTGGGGAGGGGAGGGGCGGGGTGGGGAGGGATAAGAGAGTGAATAACCATCTTGATAGTCAATCTCTCATAATACTTCTTCCAGCTGATATTTGGGAAGATGAATACAAACACAGAAAAAGGAAGCTCAAGGATATCTCCTAGCCCTAGAGTTCCATTTCCCACTTTGATAATGGCTCAAAATGTATTAACCAAATGCACTATCCTGGCCATATGCAAGTAAAGAGATTGCTGTCATTACCTGGGCATCAGAATTAACTCCCAAAATATTCTCAGCTGGCATTTTGGAGAATGATTTGTATTCAAATTTAAAACTACATTAGTTATATAATACCTTTTCAAAATGGAGCTCTTGTGATTGGCCTCAGCTGTAAGAGTGGTGGCCTTACCTTATCCATGAACAGTACCACAATCTTCTAATGTTCTACACTCCTTCCCCTCTTCAAACACTGTCCTGTGCAGCAGGTGGTTCATCTGTTTATTCCATGATACAGAAGGGATCTCGCCATCCTTTTCTAAATATGTGAGTCATAGTCTACTGCACTGCCTGTTGCTTTTTCTAACTAGAAACTGAGTGGGGACAGGTCTCTACACAATGAGTGACTGACCTTTCATGGCTCTGTCTATGCATCCTGCCTCCCTGTAAGAAGCCTGCCGCTGTACTGCTAGTGTGAAGTATTGTATGGGCATAAGAATTTCATTGTGGGTTTTACCCCAGGATGAGTTTTCAGCCATTTTTATAGTTGTTCTCTCTTGCTAGCTCATGTGATTTGACTTTGTCAAGAGCCATTCAAATCAAGCAGCAGATAAATGGGGGCAGTGATGTAGCATATTCCCCCCATGCTGTTCTCAGCTCTTCTATAAAATGAAGTGTTTTTCAGGCTTGGTAATTTGAGAACATATTTCTGATTTAGTTCCAGCACTGGGGGGAGCCAGAGGGATGAAAAACAGCTCTCCCATTGGATCAGATCTCAGGAAAAAACTCGAGGGTGTCCAGATGAGCACACCTGAGTTTCCCCAAGGACAGATAGCAATGGCATGTAGTTGTGGCACTACTGCTTGTCCCTGGGGAATGCCTGTGCACATGTACCACAGGAGGTTGCCCTAGGTGGGGTAGGGGAGTCTGGGGCCAGCACCTGGGCTGTCCGGTGGTAGAAATCTAGCAGCGTGGAGCCCAGCTAGTAGCTGGCTGTGGTTTTAGGTAAAGATGCGGGTTTTCCAGAAAATTTGGAACTGGAAAATTTTCCAGTGCCTTAAATAGAATGTGATCTGATTTAGCATGTTTATTTTACTTATATTTAGTAAACAAAACTTTAAAAAGTACCCCTGTGTTAATTTTATGTTCTAATAGCCACAGATATTTGAACTGAAATATCTGATTAGGAAAAAAAATTAAATACAACACGCTTAATGTGACTTAAATGTTACATTCAAACAAATTCAAAGCTTTATGTGGAAATTATTTTTTATTGGATTACTTGTAAAAATGTAAAGACCATACACAATAGCATGTACTTCACTTAGGTTGTTTGTTTAAATTTAAGGAAAAAAAGGCACTGAAAGCTGCTGAGACACTAATTTTAGCACATGCAAAGAACTGTGCATTGATGTGCTGTGCTTTGGTTTTGAATTGACCTGCACAGCCAGTTAGGTGAATTCATAACTTGCTTTTTGGTTTGGATTATTATGTGAGTGTTTACCTTCCTGTTTACAAATCGGTAAAATATATATGTACTTTCTCTCACACTTCCTAGGCCTAATCACCTGAAAAACATTTATTACAACTTTGAAACTGCCAAGCTTGCCTAATATTGTATTGGCTTCCATTCATTGTTACTAATGAATTTTATGAAACAATCCATTTTTAGAAATGGAAAATTTCCCATGGAAAAATAAAGCACTGGAAAATTGGAACAGAACACTTTTGGTTTCGGGCAGTGTACGCTGCTGCCACAAGTGATGCCCTGCTTTTAGTGTAAGATCCTACCCAAGAAAAGTAGTAGTGGTGGGAACATCTGCGTGTGCGGTGCGTGGCACCACAGGCTGTGCACGCTTACCTGAATGTGCCCTTGCTGTGAGAGCAACGCGAGCGTGGCATCTGCTGCCTAGGAACGCGGGAATGTCCTTTCTTCCAGGCACTCAACACTAGGCCAAGCAGGCCTCCACAGCGAGGGCTCAGGAACAGGCATGCATCTGGGCAGGGCCCCCTTACAACCTGTGCATATGGCTTTTTGTGTCGTGTCTCCCTGCCTGGAGCCGCTTCTGTTGACACTTAAGTCCAGGTGCCCTAAAAATAGCAGGGCTGAGAACAGCGATTATGCCCTTTGGCTCTGCAAAAAGTCAATTTAGTGGCAAAGGAACAGGGACTGAATGTGGCCTTGCACAGTGGGTAAGTGGTTTGGTTGAATGGGGGTTGGAATAGTATGGATGAGGAGGTTCAAAACACCAGTGCCATTCCGAGTCGCACGAAGCTCTCCGGGCGCCGCCTCCCCAAGAGCCCGGGTTGCAGCCAGGGCCCTGCCTGCTCTGCGACCTCCCGCCAGCAGAAGGCGGTGCGGCCCGGCGCCCGCCCGCTTCGCCTCACCCTCCTGCCGGATTCCGCGCTCGGGGCGGGGCGTCCTCCCCCCGGTGCTTTACGACAGTAGGCAGGGAAGACCTAGCCGCCTGCCGTGCCGCCCGCCAGTGGCCCGGCTGCGGCTGCACTATGGCGGCAGCGGGGAGGCCTGGTGAGGCGGACGCCTTCGCGTGCTACCACTCCCCGCTGGTGTCACGCTACGCCAGCCCCGAGATGGGCTTCAACTTCAGCGAGAGGAAGAAGTTCGGCACCTGGCGGCGGCTCTGGCTCTACCTGGCCCAGGCTGAAAAGGTACCGAGGCGCCCCCCCCCCC